CCCCCCCCCCCCGGAGACACATACACCATCGACATGAACAGTCAGAGGCATCAGTCAAGAAGCGATGGGGCGTGGTGTTCGTTCACCTGTCCCATGAAGGGGATGCCGTTGAGGTTAAGGGCCTTGGTGCATTCCTCAGACGACCGGAGTTCCACAAAGGCGTACTTGTTGTTGACGCGGCAGGTCACCACAGGGTTGCCGGGTCCGGTGGTGAGGTTGACCTGAATAAACAAATAAACGTCAAACGTGTGTTGCGAGACACACGCCCCGGAGCAACAACGAGGAGGGGGGGGAGGGGGCGAGAGACGAAGAGGCGTACTTGGTCAGCAGGGGCATCCCAAAAGGCTAAAAGCAACGCACAGCGGGGAGTGTTGGAGGAGGGCAGAGGTTGACAAACCCTTCGCTCTCTACCGGAGCTTCGCAAGACAACTCGGAACACAAAATATTCAGTGCCATCATCATTCTTAAGATGTTTCCAACGACCGTGTCGACCTGGCAGTACTTGTGTACCGTCCAATACTATCTCAGACACTCTCAAACGGCAGCAGTGGGAAAGGCGTCAGGGTGCTAGAGGAAGAGGGGGGTGTCAACAGGACTAACCGCGTCCTAAAACACTGCCGATGTTGTTGTTGTTGCGGCGCCTTGATATGAACAGGAGGACCCATGACCAAAGCCCTTGGAAATATCGTTGCGCCCACTCACCTCCACCCGTTGCCTTTATCACCACAAATTCGTTTTCTCAGCAAGGCCCCCTTCCCCATCTTTTGCCACGAATTTTGATCACATCGCATCGCGTTTCAAAGAGGCGGGGAGTAGGTTCGATCGACACCGGCACAGCTTGCGGGGCGGCGAGGCCCAAAAGACAGAAATACAAGAGCACGAAGCGACGGCACGCGGGAGGACACGGGCGAGTCCGCAGCGCAGAGGGACAACACCACCACCAAAATCCGAACACAAAAAAAGCTATTGTATATAAAAGGCCTGTCCTCCGTAGGCGTTTTTTTTTTTGTGTCACTTGGGTACACTTAATTCGTCTTACACCACTTTCAGCGAAATAACCGAAATCGACCACAAAAATACGAGGCAATCGCCTATGCGGCGCACAGCCCTCAAAGTAACGGTTTTTCCCTCACTCACTGCCAAGACGTTTATTTCAACACATTCGAACGGGTTGTTAGTATTTCTGTGATTGTATGTTGTCAATAAAACGCACACGCGACGCGTCCTCCTTCTCCCGCCGACCTATACCGTAGGTGACACGACACAAGATAAAACAACTCTCAACCGAATTTCAAACCTCCATTGCGTTGTTCCACGACCAAGAGGATGCCGAAATCAAAAAGATCCATATTCGGCACTGCCACTCCCTCCGCTTTGGATCAATCGAGCTTAGAAAACCGGCCAAGAGGGTGTGATATCTTGCGTCATGTCACCTATACACGGTAGATGGCTACATACGATAGGAATAAACAAGGGTATTTTCCACACCGCCTCCCAGTATCCCGCCTCTGGAGATTAACGCGCCGATAATCCGTGTATGTGGAAATGGAACGGGCAACAGCAGTCCATCCTCCTGCCGATGCCGTATCGATTACCACACCATATAGACAGAAGACACCAGACCATGGTTGAAAACAAAAAAGAGCGGGTCGTTCGTTATTTTTGCGGTGACGTATAGTCGGCGATTGTGCATCGACGGTAGAACGCCAAATGAGACAAGCCGATGGCCATTCGGAAACCCAACACCACACGACACGAGGTGTAGATATCCGTGGAGACAACGACAGAAGGGGGGCCCCACAAATTGGAGGGGGGGGGGAGGCACGCCAAACAAAAGCAGGGGTGGTGGTGGTGGTAGGGCAACACACAACACGGCAGAACAGAAGCGGCAGCAGTAGCAGCAGCAGCGGCAAGCAGCAACAGCAGCAGCAGCAGCAGCAGCAACAACAACAACAACACACAAACAAAAACAACAACAGCAGCAGCATCACACCGGACGGCAGCAAAAGCAACAACAAAGCGGCACTGTTCTTCATTAGCGCCAGAGGGAGCGATCCGCGGCCTTGGATATTGCAACCGCGTTTGAGTTTGCGTTTGACGAGTGACCAAACAAGACAAGACACTCTCGAAAGCAGCGGCAGCAGCAGAGGGCAACTCATGCACAGCTTTGCGAGGCAATTTGAAATGCGAATCGCTCACGGTGTCAGCCACCTCACCCTGCAACTACATGTGAACAATACCTTGTTCTGTAAACGACGTGCCGCTCTTACGTCATTACCACACGTACCACGTCATGCTCGGAAAGCTTCGGTAAGTCCGTCGAAAGTCTCTCCTCTCAAGATGTACACCTTACACAATTGCCAGCCACAACCGCAAACAAAACAATCAAAGACCACGATTCCAGCGGCACGCCTGCTTCGCTCCAACAACGCCAACGGCATCCAAGACAGCAGAGAGTCTACCGTAGATAACACAAGATACCACACTCCCTGCACCGACGTTCACGGCTGGATTTCTCGGCAGCAGAGACAGTGGCGGTACCGACAGTTTCGGCATTGGAACCGTCTCGTCGAGATGTTTATTTGATTTCGGCATCCTCTTCTTCGTGGAGTAGTCGAGCTTCGAAAATCGGCCCAAGAGGGGTGTGGTATATTGCGTCAAACACCGTATGCTCCATACAGCAGTAGGGTCCCCCTTGTAAAGTGTTAAGTGTTCGGTATAGTGCCGCTGTTTTCGGCGGGCACACGCTGAATTTCCACGCATGTCAACTCTCAATACTTCAAATAGTGTCGGTCCGGAATAGTACCGGTGAACTTTCGGGGGCACATAATGGCACTCAAGAGGGACCTCTACCCCTGAACGCTGTTCTCGTTGATTGTTCGCCATCGTTAGACACAATCCCAATAAAGAGGGACCTCTACTGCTGTCCGCTCTCGAGCCCGGGAGACAGGTGAAAATAACTGTCTCAAGATTTGCAACATTTCCCAACATGACCGCCCCAGCGCTAATACATTCAAGGAACCAGCAACACAATTTCCAGCTCCGCTCTTCTAGATCAACCGCACCCTGACAGAACGACGCCAAACAGCACAACCCTTTCCCCGCAAACCTCGGATCACTTACCAACCCCGGCAATTGACACCGTGCACCAACGATCGAAGGCGATCAAACATCAAGACGGCCCACCTGCTTCATGGCGGCGTTTAGGAACTCGAGAAGCACGAAGTCCGAAGTTCCTTGGGGAGTGTTGCCCACGAACAGCTCGCGCACCGTCTTGTCTCCCATGCCCATTCCCATGCCTCCGAGCATGCCGGGGACGGCCCCCGCCCCCGCACCGAGGGGCAACGAGACTGCACGGAGGGGGAAGGCGGGCGCGGTTGTAGACTTGAGGTAAGGGTAAGTACACTGCCGAGGATATTGCAGAGAGGGGTGAGTGTGCTCATGTAAAACGCATGCCGCACCAAGAAGCACCGAAAACTGCACGGTTGCGTGAGCCCGCGGGGGGGGGGCGTAGACCTACCTTAACTAATACACGGCCGAGGGTGTACTCATGTACAAACATGCCTAGTTCGTCATTACGCCATTGACCTCGCATCCCCACGATGCGGAGCGAGTTTGTCGCCGGCCCACGGGGGCACGATGAGCGCCAACTTAAATTTTACCCCATCAACCAAATCTTCAAGTACACCTTTGTCAGCACGCGCGGGAGACCAAAGGAGGGATCGACTCTGGCAATAAAATCCAGCTTTTCACTCCCCCAATTCCTCCCCTGGTCTCCACCCAGCCTACACCTACCCCCCCTCCAAACCATGACGCCCCCGCATCCACACACACCATCCGACGTGAACGGAGAGGCAACAGGGTACGTAGATCTCCAGTCGAATTCCACCCATTCCATACCAACACAAAACAACAACCTGCATCGAATCAATTCTGGGGTGCGTGCGCGCTGATTCAAAGTCATGCAGCACGGAAAGGACGGCGAAGGAAAACTTCGGATCAAGCTCAAGGGGCACGAGGTCAGGCAAAAAAAAAAAAAAAACTGTCTGTACCGACAGAGGGAGGTAATGGATAGAGAGATTGGAACGAACTTTCTCAAGACAACAACAACAACAAAATACGATGCACACTGCTGCTACTCACATTGGCCAGGAGTTCCGGCCTGCTGCTGGGCGGAGCGCATGACCTGCGCGAGCAGCTGGGGGTTGGCCTGGAAGCCTCCGGCGCCAGCGGCCCCGAGCCCAGATAGCCCCCCGGCCGCCTGGCCGGGGAGCGCGCTGGGCACACCGAGGTTCCGCGCAGCGGCGAGGGCGATCTGCGCGGGGTTGAGCCCGGCCGCTGGGGCGGCGGCGGCGGCGGCGGCCGGCGCAGTGGTAGACGAAGGGGCTGCGACGGCAAGGAGGGGGGAGGGCGGCGTGAAGCAAAAGAATCACGAAGGATATGAGGGGGAGGGGTTAGCTTGCTAACCACGAAAAGGGGGGAGGGGGTATGACGCAAACATAATCTCACGAAGAGACGGGGGGGTGGGGGGGTGGGGGGGGGTGGGGTGTACTCATAGTCGTGCATGCCGTAGTCGTTAGACCATTGCCCTCGCATCCCTACAAAGCCGGGACGGAGCACGCCGGGTTCTCACCGGACCAGGCTCTCACATCACCAAGCGCGAAGCGCCGTGAGATATTCGGCGAGTCGCATGAAGGGTGCGCTGCATCCTGCTAA